CCCCAAAACCCCAAAACCCCAAAACCCCAGGTGAAAATCCCTGAATAATTTTATAATATTCAAAATCCCAATTAAAATATGAAGAGCTTCCCTTTCTGTCAATTTAAGAACTGTAATTACGAAGCAAAGTACTACATCCTAGGCGTTCAGAGTTACCTGTGTGAAGCACATTTTGTCATGAAGTACTCACAAGGCGATGGAGTCAGACTAACAACACCAGCCGAGGTGAAGGAGAGAATAGAGAAAGTTGAGAAAGCACTCAAGATCTTCTTGGTAACTAGTCAGACGAAGCAGGATCGAGCTGTAAAAGAGCGGATATTGAAATTTTGTGACGAGCTTACCTGCCAACTTATTGTAATCAAGGCTAAACTTGTCGAAGTTGATTTTAAAGAGCTGTTTTGTAAGGAAATATAGTCTTAACAATCAGATAGCCAAATTAATTAAGTTAGATATCTTTTAGTTAACTCATTAATGATTTCTGATTTATCCCTATTCTTTTCTAACTTTGCATAGATGAATATACAGCATTGAAGAACCAAGTTAATTCTATCCAAACTTTGATCGACGACGAAATAGATTTTATCCAGTTCACCAGAGAATTCTTCTGGAGTCTAATTGGTGAAGATTATCAGCAAGGTAGGTCTTCTAGATATTTAGAGAAGTCAGATAAAGAATTTTACGAATCGTATTAGCTTAGCTGATCTTGTTTTATTCCAAATTCAGCTCCTTATGTTCATAATTACTCTCATTTCATATCTATTATTAAAAGTCTGACATAAGATTTTAGAAAACAACAATGAAGCCCATAATGAGCAAATTGATAAATTACAAGAAGAACTAAAGCTCAAAGAAGCCAAGATTGAAGAACTTGAGAAGGAAAATAGTGATCTGTTAAGAACTATCCAAGGCTTAACTTCTCATAAAGCAAAAGTAGTGCAGATAGGTGAAGAAAGAGATAGAGAGGACAGAATTGAAGCCTCAGATTTCAATGATCTCTACAAATATATTGTTGGTGAAACTATTTCAGTTGGGCCTGAGTACAAACTCAAGCTGATCCTCAAAGATATTTAAGCACATGGAGTTCCTGAAGTGTCTTGATAGTCCAATTCCAGCTTTGAATCAGATCAATCTGGAGAGTATTCCAAAGAACGATGAGTGTGTAAAGCATTTTTTAAGAACGAGTTTCCCAGTTAGAGTCCAGAAGTTCCACTTCGGATACCGCACTGAGCTCTCAGACATCAATGATTATGTAGAAGACGTTGGCGGGGTTAATCAAAGTGTTGAGGAGAGGTTCTACATCTGGAGCTTTGAAATTGGAGCTGAAAATCTTGCCTTTCTGCTCTCAATGTACCGCAACATTAGATTCTTCGGAACCCCATATTGCAAGCTTGATTTGGACCAAGTGCCTGACCTTGCTGAAGCTCTTGATGGAACTACTATTGAAGGTTTGGACTTGTATAATTGTGGCCATCCCTCACTTGGAAACTGGAGCAAGAAGCCATCACGCTTCGATAATTTAATCAAAGGCCTTGGAGCCAGTGAAGACTTAAAACAGAGCTTGAAAGAAGTCAACTTGGCTGGATGTGGAATGGAAAGATACGCTGCAAGGCAGATACTTGATTCTTATGGATTCCAAAATGCAGATATTCGTGTGTAACTATCTGTGAATCAGTAATAACACCTGAAAGTCAATAAAGAATGCTCATTATAATAAGTCTCCTCTTGGTCATCTTCGTTTCACATTAAATGTATCTCAATAGCAAACCTCTCTTCTTAGTTTACCATCGAGGAAGTTTTGAATCTCTAATATCTCAGGGTTTCTGCTTTAATTTCAATCTTTAAAATCTTCCCTGGGGTTTTGGGGTTTTGGGGTTTTGGGGTTTTGGGG